TCTTAATTCTAGTTTTATTTATCTTCAAGTTTGTATTTTGTTGTTTATCTTAATTCTAGTATTCCACTTTCAGAGTTTTGAAATTGCTTTCATATATCAAACATCAGTTGTATAATTTAGATGTTTGTTCACAAGTAGAGATAGAAAAAATTCACGCGTATAATTTAGATTGAAGTAAACAAATAATAAACTACATGGAATGATACGATGGTACGGATAAACAATGGATAAACATGAAAAATGTATACAAAAATCCATACAATAAACCAACCAATTAAGTAAGACATGTCTCATATTTGTACTCGGTTCCGAGTAAACATTATATAAACGTATTGGTGATAGTGTTTGTTTTGTTTGGGAAGACGAAGAGTCTATGAAAAGGAAAGTGAAGGTTGCATTTTTCTTGGGAATTGAGATATACAGAAGGAAGATATCAGTTGAGTATCACTAATTCCTTAAAAATCTTTTGCTTGCCTTTTTTTTAGTTTAGATTCAATAAATGTTAACACGTAGGGCTGTAAACGAGTCGAGCCGAGCTCGAGCTTAGTGTGTTCGAGCTCGAGCTCGTTAAATAAACGAACTTAAAATCTAGCTCGAGCTCGGCTCGTTAAGACCTCGAGCTGGAACCTTAACGAGCCGAACTATAAAAATTATATAAAAATTCTATTTTCGAGCCTTAACGAGCCTTGTCGAGCAGCTCGCGTTAGCCAAACGAGTTTTTAATGAGCTCGAGCTCGGCTCGTTAAAGCATCGAACTCGAACAGAACTCGAGTCTTAACGAGCCGAGTTCGAGCCATGCTCGTTTAATTTAACAGCACTATTCACACGCAAGTCAAACAATCAGCTTTGTGGAATATGAAAGTTCTTAACTGCGTATTAGTGGTTATGATCTTTATCAATGTGGAATAAAAAAACTTTTATTGTTTTGTTGAACTTATAAGGAAGATGGTTACGTAGAGGGCGGAATTATGTGAGTCAAAAATGAATATTAGTATGGACCAACAAACGAAATAAGTATGGCCCAATAATCCGAACTCCATAGACCATAGCCCAACTGAAATAAAGCGCCAAAATTGCACTAAGCATTAAAAGAGGTGAGTATGATAATATGGTACACACCAAATGGTTTTTGCACACAAGAAAAATACCTGTATCTCTCATTTGCAATTATTGTCCCAGTTGTGATTCTTCGTTGTTGGCTCCATCACATTTTATCTGTTCTTAGTGATCTTGTTCGTTGCAAGAATGGAGCTCATGTTATATTTGGATTTTTTTTTTTTTTTTTTTTTTTTTTTTTTTTCATGTGGGTTGTTCTTTTGCATTGAATGTGTTCGACGAAAAGCCTGAGTTGCCACTGATGCCTGCCTGTGCATTGTACATTTATCCATGGTTTTGAACTTGTTTGAATTGAAATGTCAAGATTTCTGGATTTTAAATGTTGATATAAATGCTTGTGGTGAGGCCAAGCATGAATCTTCAAGTAAGCTATGATGAGCGTAGGCATTAATCTTGTCTTCTTCTTTTCTTTTCTCTTTTACTCGGTTTTGATGGGTAAATTAGAAATGAGTGGGGATCAATTAGTCTTTGCTTTGAATGCTTGTTATATCATCCAATCACAGACAATGATTTCTAACTGGAACAGATGACTCTCCATTTGCAGCTATCTATATTTTCGTCACAAGAAAACCCAACCCATGTCTCGAATTTCATTCCTACAAAAACTTGCTACACAAGTTAAACCACTCATGGCCCAAAGGGTCCATCCCTACGCCACCATGCTCCAATCCTCCCCCCAAAATATGGCCATAATACCCCAGCTCCCAGTTGGCCAAAACATCCCGAAAAAGGACAAAATCACCTTCCTTGTGAACTCGCTTACAGGCCTCCCGGACAACAAACAGCTCATCTACAGAACGCTTGATGCATGGGTCGCATGGGAACGCGACTTCCCTATTGGGGCCGTAAAAAACGTGATTCTCGCCCTTGAGAAGCAAAACCAATGGCACCGGGTAATTCAGGTCATCAAGTGGATGCTGAGCAAAGGGCAAGGGACGACTCGGGGGACCTACGGGCAGCTGATTGAAGCCCTTGATAGGGACAACAGAGTGGAGGAGGCAAACGAGATCTGGAAAAAGAAACTCGCTTTTGATTTGCATTCGGTCCCTTGGAAGCTGTGCAAGATGATGATTTCAGTTTACTACCGTAATAATATGGTGGACGAGGTCGTGGGCCTGTTTGAGGGTCTTGAGGATTTTGACAGGAAACCCCCTCAGAAATCAATAGTGCAGAAAGTGGCGAATGCATACGAGGTGCTGGGGTTGGTGGAGGAGAAAAGGCGGGTGCTCGAGAAGTATAAGGGCCTGTTTGACGAACCTTCTGGTGGGAAATTGAAGAAAGCTAGGAGGGCTAGTTCGCCGAGCCAGGAAGATTGAACTTGGCTTTTCGGTGGTCTATAGATATGTGACTAAGCTCTTCCTTGGTTTATGTTGACCTGCTTTGTGTTGCTCCTTGTGCTTATGAATCTTCAATCCGTGGGAATTCTTTTCGTAGTTGGAGGACAATTTGATTTGCACTTACGTTTTGTGAAATATGCGAAAAAAGAAATTTGGTGATTTTCACTTACATTTGCTTTGTGTTTTTCCCTTCACTTGGCTGTGTTACTCCTGCAGTCTTTTTGTGATAGATTTGATTTTATTTTCACTGTATATGCATCTTCATTTGACAATCTTTTTTTCTTCAATTTTTTTCTTCTATTGTATGTATAGAAAGTGTTCTATGAAAAGTCTGTTGTATATTTTTCTTATACACAGGATGTTGTATTTACATTACAAGAGAAGAGTTTCAATTAAAGGAAAATAAACAATATCATATCTTCCTAATTCAAATAAAAACTTGGAGTGGATATAAATTTTAATGAGGTAGTTGCCTTTGTGGATATGTATATATATACTTGTAAGCAAAACTTGTGTATATGTTTCCACTCTAATTCTAAAGGAACTAAATAGAGGTTCTGTTATTGTCTGATTTGAATGGGTTTATATGTGGCCTTCTGGTAAAAGTACGACGAGAAATGAAGCTGCGTCAAGTCTAATTTGTTTCGTCTTTGTCCCTGTTTTTCCAGCTTTATAGCTTGATCAATAAGAAAACATTACACCACTTTTGGCCAGGTAACTGAGTTTCATATTAGGGGAAACTTCTCATGTATTCTGCTCTCATAACCATGAATCAAATATTAGGGGCTTTAGATTGGACATTTGTTGACCACACTGTTCCAGCAAAGGATCGAAGCCGATATAGAAATATAAAGGGTGGTATAAATACAAACGTGACACTTGTGATGCTAATTTGAAATTTCGCTATGCCTGGATGAGATAGATCTACTTTAGATACAGGAGTGCTGCGTGATGCAATATATAGGCGTAACGGTTTAAGACTTCCAAATAGTTTGTTGAAATTTTATTAGCTAATGCGTTTTTACAAAATGTTTAAATCTCGACACTAATTTTTTGTTCCTGTGTACTTTGTACTTTGTGAGAACAATATGTCTAGATACTAGACACTAAGAGAATCTTCAATGGTACATTGTTTTTTATTTGACGCACTAAAAACATTTTTAATGATACACTGTATATGTCGCGGCTAGCAAAGTAGCCTCCACGGCAGGAATGTCGCACCTACAATGCACAATATTTTTGGGGAAATTTACATACTTAGACTCCATGTAGGAGTTATTTTCACATTTACGATCAGTTAAAATATTTATCAAGAGGGGATTTGATGGAGATTTTATTTTCACAATTACGATATGTGCTATTTTGAACAAATCTGTTTCTCTTTCCAAAATAAAATCATGTCATTAATATGCTCATTCTTCTCTTTCCAATAAATCCGTTCTCTCTCCAAAATAAAAATCATGTCATTGATGCAATCAAAATCGAAATTCAAAAAAAAAAAAAAGGTCACTGCAAACATAATAGCTACAAATTTGGGCTGCACAAACTCAAAAATTCGAACGGATTTACAGTAAATCGGCGTCTTGCAGTTGAAAAAAATATCATCGATCTAGCATTGAAAAAAACACAGTCATGATTAGATATACTCTATATATACAATAGATAAACAATATGACAAATCGATCTAGCTTTGAAAAAAACACTGTCATGATTAGATATATTGTATATATACAATAGATAAACAATATGACAAATTCAAACATTGACGTAATTGAATCTTATAAAGAGTATAGTTATACAAAACATATACATTAGAAACACAAATATGTAGACACAAAAATATTATAGATTCAAACAACGATGCAAATAAACAGAGAGTATAATTAAAGTAAATGTATACATTAGGTAAACAAATCTGACAGATGAAGATGATGACGCTTTTGTGTCCTAGTCTTTCCCCCGATGTTACGATCAGCCGCGAGCCGAGCCCAACGATTACCGCGCGCACAACACAGGACCTTCCGCCGCCAGTGTCGTCCGTCATTGCTGATACGAAGCTCGCCGTCAACCGCTCTCCTCTAAAGATTACCGACGATTACCCTTGCCTTTAGTAGAGCCTTCAAGACCATCAGATTCAAACTTTTACCAATAATGGCCTTTTATTCGTCATTGACGAGCCTCGTGCAATAAATAAATAGGGTTTTCTGCTTGGTGTATGAAGATGATAGATGTAACAGAGAAATTTGGTAAGATAATTGTGGGAAGAGTGTTAGCGAGAATTATGATTTTTTTAGAGATAATTTGAAGTGACAATGGTGAATCTTGGAGGTTTGGAGAAGATGACATAGAGATTTGCGTGAGATAGGGAAGAAAAAGATTTACACGACCTCCAAAAAATATGCAGAGGGAAACGGCGACTCACACATGATTTATCATCTTTTTAGGAAACATAATTAAATAATATTTTTGGTAAGAGTCAAGCCATAATTAATGTTATTAACGTAAACCTGAAAAAAAAATATTGCCTCTCGTAAACTTAAAAATAAGTTAGGATGAAGTAGCAAAGAGTGTAATTTTCTCATATTTTTGAAAGGAATAAACTTAAATTGAAAACATAAATAATATTTATTAGATACAATTGTCAATTCAAACGAACAATTTTTTCAAAGTCCATACCACATAAGTAAAATAAACTATATTTCTCAAAAAAATAATTCAATGCAATTATTTTTTTGGTCTTGTGGATGTGATGAGTCCAAAAGCAAAATAAACCCAATCTATATGGAAGTTCATTTTGGGACATCAAAATTCACGTCCACACTTGCATAAAAAGTACTACTCCCTTTTATTTTTTTTTTAAATGTCATTCAAACTTTATCAACTATTAAATAAATAAATATTAAATAAATAAATGTTGTTTTGAATCTTTTGTACATATTTTTTCATTATTATCCCCATTTAGCTAATAAATACATTACGTCTTTTCATATCCACTCTCTCAAAGCACTCATCTCTATCTACATTAAATAAAGTTATTATTGACAAAAAAAAGTATTCTTAATTAATGTGCAACTTCTCAAAACGACATATATTAAAAATAGCAGGTAGTATTATTTATATTTTTCAATTCAAGTCTCTTTGTATTCCAAAATCTTGTTCATTCAAGTGATAATGAAACTGATTTATTTATCTACATAATACCACATTACTATTGACATTTGTTCATTTTGTTTACCACATAGATGCATATAAGAAAGAGGGAGATTCTACGGTCCTCTTACGGAATAATTTCGTCGGGGTTTGTAACCATCAGATCAACTATTCACGACGATTGTATGATAATATAACGGTTACAAATTTTGATAAAATGATTCCGTAATGGGACTATGCGTAAAAGAAAGAGAAAGAGAAAATGGCGCGCAATGGAAGGAGAAAACGCTCGCAGTCCCTTCGAATTCGCCCGAGCTCCCATTTTTTCTCTGCCTCTCTTTCTCCTCGTTTTTTCTTTCACCCAAAAATCAAAGTCATTTTGGCTTTTAATTTGTTTCTAAATTCAAAATTTCGATCTTTCCAAGAAAGCAAAACAAACAAATAAATAAACAAAGAATTCAGCAATGGCTTACCCAGAGAACCCATCACGGCAATCTTTGATCCCGAGTTTTCTCTACTCTTCTTCGCTCACGTCGGTTAGGATGACGAATGCGGATCAGAATCTGACGTCCCGAATGAACAACCCGCCGGCAGCAGGAAGTGGCCGGAATTTCATGATCCCGGCGCCGATGGACAGCAGGATAGAGATGTTCTCGCCGGCTTACTACGCCGCGTGCACGTTCGGAGGAATTTTGAGCTGCGGCCTTACTCATATGGCCGTCACACCACTCGATCTGGTCAAGTGCAATATGCAGGTTCGCTGGAATTTCCCATTTTACCCTTTGGTTCTCTCTGTTACAGCTCTCTTTGATTTTTGGGCTTAAAATTGTTGGTTATGAGATATTTGTTAGGGATTTCGAATGATTATGTTCTTCTGAGTTGGTACTTATGTATAAAAGTGCAACAATCTTCGACCATTTCAAGTACATTGAGACATTTAAACAGATGTTCTGTATGTGGGTAATGTCTGTGTTTCTGACGTACTTTTGCCGGAATACGATGATATTATGAGCTGACAAATTTACTGCAACGACTGCGAATGCTCGGAATCTATCTGTATCTAGGATGGTAGCTCATTATCTCTTTGATTTGTTGATTAATGATTCCCTTTCTATATTAGTTGTGGGTATTTGTTTACATAAGCCCAAAAACGCATGAATGGACCTTCAAACGAGCTTTAAATATTTGATTACATGGTGTTTGTTAGATATATGGTGAACTGAACATTTGTTTTAGTTGAAAACTGCAGCATAAGGGTGGTTTCACTCGTGTTATCCGTTGCTAGTTGTGAATTTGATAAACTAACAAATTAGACGGGAGCTAATGGGTAATTGCGAATAATATTAGCTTTACATTAATAATTACGTATAATATGTTGATTACAGTTCTTTCTTTTTATCCCAACGCTTAATATGGTTTCATCTTTAGCTATAAAATTTGGAGGACTGACTTAAAAGAGTGACTTTTAAACTGTAGTTACAGAAGAAGAACTGATTTAAGGAATAATGGCATTTCTATTATACAGAAGCCAAATCAATATTTTCTATACATTTTTCTTTTTCTTCAGATTGATCCTGCAAAGTACAAGAGCATTAGCTCTGGTTTCGCAGTTCTGCTCAAGGAGCAAGGGGTGAAAGGCTTCTTCCGGGGTTGGGTGCCAACACTGCTCGGTTACAGCGCACAGGGAGCATGCAAATTCGGCTTCTATGAATTTTTCAAGAAGTACTACTCAGACATGGCTGGTCCCGAGAATGCCGCCAAATACAAGACTCTGATCTTCCTAGCAGGTTCTGCTTCCGCTGAATTTATTGCCGATGTTGCCCTCTGTCCGTTTGAGGCCGTTAAGGTTCGTGTCCAAACCCAACCGGGTTTTGCCAGGGGCTTGGCTGATGGATTTCCAAAATTTGTCAGGGCTGAAGGAGCTTCAGGGTATGCATGGATCTCATTCTACGTTCTCCTTTTCATTTTGTTCGACTAAAAGAGCCGTTTTCACAATTTATGTGTGTTTCTACAGGCTCTATAAGGGGATTGTCCCACTTTGGGGCCGACAAATCCCATGTGAGCCCTCTTTTCTTTTTCTGTTTCCTTTTTGCATTTCATTTCCTATACTCAACGTATGATTTTCATTTACTGTTGTGGATTGGAAGGTAAAAACATATTATTTTTATTTGAAAAAGAAGAAAAAAAAAAATACAATCTTGCTGCAAGTAAAACTGTTTCATCTATCCACTTCTTGACCATCTTGGTTATCTAAAGTAATTTTCTTCTAGCAAGCACTAAAGATATAAGTGCATTTACCTGCCAGATACTATGATGAAATTCGCCACTTTTGAAAACATTGTTACGGGAATATACAAATACGCCATTCCAACTCCGAAAGAACAGTGCAGCAAGCAGTTGCAGCTCGGGGTCAGTTTTGCTGGTGGCTACGTGGCTGGTGTTTTCTGTGCTATTGTTTCACACCCTGCTGATAACCTCGTCTCGTTCCTCAACAACGCCAAAGGAGCTACAATTGGCGACGTGAGTGAATATTTACTTGTAACCATGAATTTATTGCGGCAAAAAGCAATATATTTGTTATCTGTGGATAGAATGCTAAATGTTTCGTTATTCCAGGCTGTGAAAAAGCTTGGTTTATTGGGTTTGTGCACTCGAGGCCTCCCTCTGCGTATTGTCATGATAGGAACACTTACTGGAGCTCAATGGGGCATCTATGACGCGTTCAAAGTTTTTGTTGGACTGTGAGTTTCACTTTTTTTTTTTTTTTTTTT